ACATTCTAATCTGTAGGACAGGAGACTATTTGAGACTCCAGAGGCTCCTGACAGACAGCAGGAACTTTAGGGGAGGGACTCAGGTCAGCTGCATTTCTGGTGAGCGTAAGGAGCAAGAGTAAACAAACAAGACAGAAAGCACACAGCAGAAAATTATGGAACAGGAAATGGTTCACAGTGTGCATTAATTTGAGGGGGGGAAATACAGCTATTAATATGAACAGGCCATTTTCTTCAGATGAGTGTCCCTTTCTTGCCAGAAGGTGGCAGAGAGGGTGCAGCAAAAGAAATGCCATTATTCAGAAATATCCCTTAAATATTGAAGTCCAAAATACTGCATAGTGCCACTATTGTAAAACGGGACTGACATCGGGGTTAGGGGAAGGCTGAGAAAGATGGGATAAATAATGTATACTGCACTGAAACAGATGAGAGAGAGAGAACTGTTTAAAGGTACATATGGTTAGGTATTATTGTCATGACAGGAAACCAGAACGAAGGCTTCATAGTGGAGTGGACTTGGGGGGAGGGATTGTATAACAGTGAAAGACTTTTTCTTTTACTTTTCAAAGAGTAGAGTGAGTTCTTGAGGGGGAGAGGTGGCAGGGAGAAAAGTGCAACAATGAATGAATGGAAATCCAAGGTCTCTGTAAATTTTCATTAAAATTAATAATAATAAAAAAATTGAACTCCAAATCACTTTTTTAACTTAGAGCTTTAAATTGCTGAAATCTGCAGATGTGCAGGCTGTATTGTTTCTTAAAGTTATTAGAAATAACATTCAAAATAACTAGAGATACTTACTTCTGATATCTATGCCACATATGTTAGATAAAACATATTTAACTGCAATAAATGGAAAAGAATCTTGCTAAAAGCTATGAGCTCTACAAAAATTAATTTATTCTAATAGGTAAAAGCATTTTAAAAAAAATTATTTTATTTTATTATTTTTTGTGCATTGTACCATCAAATCAGATCTGACTGGTACAAGAGGAGATTGTCCCTCCTTCTCCAGCACAGCATCTGGTGGATTCGAACCAGGCACATCTGGGTTGAAAAGCATTTTAAAAACAGATGACAAAGAACTAAAATAGATATTTATGTCACTGAATTGAAGAAACAACCTTAGTTTGCAATATGCAACTAAAACTTTTTAAGGTAATATTCAATTTTGTAAATGTGTTCATGTCATCATCTATAATATGAGGGGCTGAGTAAGAGGACAAAGCAGTTTCAGAAGTGAAAAACAGGATGTAAGTAGGACATGACTTACCTGTGGTAATAGAGTTGCTAGTGACAGAACTATCTGAAAATTCCAAATTTCTGGACTCTTCATAAATGAAAAAAAATTAGTGTTCAAAAAGTGAACTTCTATAAGGAGTTAAGTGAGCTATGGCTTCCACACACATTAACAGCGAAATTATACAATAACAGCAACGGCCACCACCAGCGCTATAGAGCTGATTCTGAATCAGGATGGCCTCATGTTTCAGGGAAGCACAGTGCTCTGTAGGGCTTTCAGCACTACTTCCTTTTGGAAGTAGCTCACCAGGGCTTTCCTCTGATGCACCTCTAGGTAGATTTGAACTGCTAAACTTTCACTGAGTTCTCAGTTGATTGCCTGGAACTTTCCTGCAGGTTTGCTAAGAATGACACATAATTCAGTGGAAACACAGTGCAGACAGATGGTTTATTTGGAAAAGAAAAAAAAAGCAAATACACAACCAAAACAGCCATTGTTGATGTGTTCCTGGAGTCAATAGAGAGTGACTTTCAGGTAACAGAAAACCGAAGGAGACAGGAAAGGAGAGGGGAGGGCAGGGGAGGAGAGGGGGGAGGGAAGAGAAGAGAAGAGAGGAGAGGAGAGGAGAGGAGAGGAGAGGAGAGGAGAGGAAAACCTAGTAAGATCTGCAAGTGGAGAGAGTTGGAAGAAATTAGTGCTCCCAACAGTGAACTCTGAGGAGTCAGGCAGTGCTGCACAAGGGTGAAAGGGGCCACTGGAGCTGGACAAAGGATCAGAAGTTGCCCACCTTCTCAATGGGCCTGGATGAGAAAGTAAAGTACAGACAATTATAATGGCCTGTTCTGGAGGTGTGTTCACAAAAACAGCTTCCAAGAAATCTAAGCCATGACCATGACAGCAAAGAATGGACAATAAAACCCTTGAGAGGCAGGACTCAACGGGTCATCTTCTTTTTCCGGGTCTCCCAAGTTCTCCCTCTCTGACAAAGTATAGGCTGATCACTTTTCTATCACTATTAGTGGAAAATATTCAAGTTTTCCTTCTCTGGTAAGTTTCCACATGCTACAGCTTCTGAGTTTTGCAGCTTTTACTATAACACCATCCTTCCAGTGGTTCACTCTTCAAAGGCCAAACTTTATTGTGAAAAGGAGGAAAAAATAGAAGTAAAGTTAAAAATGGGGTTTCTCTTAATGTAAATTTGATCTGTTCTGCAGCATCCTTTGCAGGTGCAGGGCTGGAGAAACCCTAGACATTTGTGGCTTGGCGTCTGAAAAGCCCCATATTCTGCTTTTCTCCTTACTGGTGGCCAGAGTGTGCTGGTCCGTTCTGTAACGGTGGGTGCCCTGTGCCAGAAAGCACACATATATGTGGGTGGAGTCAGCTGGGAGGCTGGAGGGATTTTTCAGAAGTCTATGCAGGCCAAACACCACGGGGGATTCCAAAGGATGAAAAATAATACCTTGGGGGTTAGCAAATTTCCAGTTTGTGGAGCCAAAGGTGCAGCTTTGAAAACATGGCAGGGAACTGACCATTACAGGGGAGGAACAATCAGAAAGCCAGATGGTCGCTCCCAGCGTCTTTGAGATTCAATTGTTCCTTCCCCTTCCCTGTGTTACTGGGAATGGCCACCAGGCACTTCTAGTTACCTGGGGTTAAGTGGGTCACAGAAGAGGGAAGACTCATCTTCAGTGTTTGCACTGCAGGCTCCCCATCAGAACTTGGAAACCAGGGAAATAGCATTGTCCAGAGATTTCAATCAATTCACAGTCAATTGAAAGCCAAGTCACTTAATAGTGTGTTGTTCGTTGCTGCAGCATCGATTCTGACTGCAAGCAGAGTAGAAATGCCCACTGGGTTTTCAAGGCCAAGACCTCTTGGAAGTAGAACACCAGGTTCATCTTCCAAGACATGTCTGGCTGGATTCAAACTGCCAGTCTTTAAGTTAATACCTTAACCACATCACTTGATCATTTGAAATTAAGCAAGTGTTTAACCATTTGCACTACTCAGCCAAGCAAAACTCAACCCAAACAAATGTAAGAACTGAAACACAAACAAAGCTCAACAGGACTGAGTCAATGCTGACCCGTGGTGATCCTCCACTGGGGCTGCAAGCCTATAAATCTTTAAGGGAAGAGATTTCCACCCTTCTCCTGAGGAATAGCTACCAGATTAGAACTGCCAAAATTTTAGTTAGCAACACAACTGGTAACACACACTTCTTGTTGCTGTTGAGTACCGTTGAGTCAGAACCAATCCGTAGTTCCTCCAGTGTGTTTTCAGGAGCTATTGGAATTGATGCCTTTGAGCTGTGGTGCTGGAGAAGAGTATTGAGAATACCATGGACTGACTGCTAGGAAAACAAACAGATTTGTCCTGGAAAGGGTTAAACCGGGTGGCTCCTTGGAGGCAAGGATTCTGAGGCTCCCTCTAACATACTTTGGACATGTTGTGAGGAGAGACCGGTCCTTGGAGAAAGACATCATGCTTGGGAGGGTGGACGGACAGCGCAGGAGGGGAAGGCCCTCTCTGAGGTGGTTTGATTCGGTGACTGGGATAATTGGGATGGGAGTGTCAGAGACAGTGCGATTGGCACAGGACAAAGCAGAGTTTAGGGTTGTTGTACATAGGGTCGCTATGAGTCGCAAGCAACTTGACGGCACATAACAACAACAACATTAATCATACAGGAGGAGACTTCCCATTCTTCTCCTGTGGAACAGCTGGTGGATTTGAACCACATTCCTTCCGGATTGCAGTGCAGTTTCTTATCAGTCGGCCAATAAAGCTCAACATAGACACTCCAGCTCCATTTGAAATAGGTCACAAGTCTCTGACAAATCAATAAAACATATTTATACAGCTTTCTGATCCTCCACAAAAAATACAAATATAAAACATATGATATTTATCTACAGTTTGGGAAATTATAGGTCCATTGAAACATGGATCCCAGGTTAAGATTTATGAATGCACAGCTTAAGGAAGAGAGCCCTGGTGGTTTAGTGGTAAGGAATTGCACTGTCGACCCAAATGCACGTGGTTCGATTCCACCATCTATTCCGCAGAAGATGGATGAATAATCTCCTCCTGTGTAACGTATTACCTCTGAGAACCTGCTGGACAGTCAGCAATGAGTCGGTTCTGATTTGATCATATAAAACAGCACCAACAATGGCTTAAAAACTCTGGCAAAATGGCCCTACATCAAGGCAGTCAGACCAAGTGTTATTCCTGTTAAAAAAAGAATGTATTACTTAGATTTTATCTGCAGTTGTCATTGTAGCAAAACAGAGTCACTTGAGGCAATTGCTAGCGATTTCTACTCTCTCTCACAGACCAGGACGGAGGGGCTAGGTCAGTGGATATTGGTATTCCTGCTCCCTAACCTGGCTTGGCCTAGCTGAAGAACAAATCTAATCACTTCCAACAAATGTCCTCACTCTGATACCACATTCAGTGATTTCTGATTGAAATTTGGCCTCCTGTGTATACATGCCTACAGGGCAGTGTGGGCCAGGCTTGCCAACGCGAGCATTCCAGTGTGCACAACAGTCACAGTTCTTGTAAACCAACTGGTGTTCTGTTTTAGACATCAGCTTCATGAGCTGGTGTGGACTCACTCAAGAGCCAAAGCCACTGACAGCTTTCTAAGCCTGCGAGGCTGAGGGCCAGCACACCACAGTGCCAGTCTGCCTCTCCTGGAAACAGTGCACTGGCCTCATGCCCTCCCACTGGAAATGTCCCCTCCTACCTTTCACAGGACATTGGATTGTCAGGTTCGTTTGCAGGGCTGCCTCCACAATGCCTCCAACCACAGCAGAGAGCTGTCCAGGCCCCAGTTTGGTGATATTTCTCTCATTAGACAAGATGACAGGTGCCTCTTAATTCAAACAGCAGGAAAGCATGTTAGTTTCAAGCCTTTTCTCTTTGGTGAACCATATTGCATTTGGTTGACACAGTCCAATCAGCAATGACTATTTAACTGACTGAGTTTGGCCAACTCTGTTGAGCTCTGCTCTGTGTGAGAAAGGTCAAGTGTGGAGGAGGCCATGGTTCTTGTCTAGCCTCTCCCACTAAGCTACATGTATTGTTAGGCACAATCTTCCATCTTTAGGCTTCAGTTCGAACCCCATTAAAAGGAAAAGATAGAACTAGATTCTCTCTTAGGGATCTTGCAACTGGAAATTCAGAGAGGTACTTTCTCATCTTACTCTAATAAACTCATTTCAATTCAAAATAGAAAAGTCATTAACTATTAAAGAACACTGAGGGCAAAGCAGTCTAATTAAAACATTATTTACATCATTACTCGCAGAAGATCTCAAGGGAAGAACACGTCTCAAGTGTCCAATTTATGAGACTGTCTGAAGTTATTGCAAGTAGATTAGAACTGACTGCAAAAGAAAGTCAAGGTTAGCCTTTTATCAACTTGAAACAAAATTATGTGTAATACTTGCATGGGGGAAAAAAAGTAAAAAAGAGGATCATTCAGTGATAAAAGTGCCTGAATTTTGAGAATCATATTCTCAGCCAACAGATTAATTCATTAACTCATTCAGGAAATATACTAAATGGTTTTTTTAAAAAATTTTAATTTCTTTTTTTTAAATAAAAGTTTACAGAAACTTTGGATTTCCATTCAGTCATTGTTGTAACAAATGTCTTTTATCAAATCCGAGCTGGATAAAACAAGTAACAAACAAACCCCTCAAACTCATTGCCATCAAGTCAGAATGGACCCATAGCTGGTGCTCCATTGGATTTCTGAGGCTGTAAATCACACAGGAGGCATTGCTCACCTTCTTCCTATAGGAGCGGATAGTGGATTTGAACTGCCAGAGAGGCATCCCTTTGGGTTAGCAGGGAAATTCCCTAAGGATTCGGTCACTAGAGCTCTACCATGAGATGGTGTGAAGATAAAACTGAAAACAGCCATTCTTGTTATCAAGGAATTTATAGGCTGGTGGAAAAACACCAACAGTTCACAGAGTGATGGGGGTTGAGATAGGGGGAAACTGCTGATCCTGATGATAACTGAGCGGCAGGGGAGGCCTCCAGAGAGGAGGGTGACTAAGCACTCCTTTTCCACTGCTGTAATGGTTGGTTCTACTCCCCCATTGGCATGTGAGCTCCCAGAGAAAGAGGCACATTTCTTAATCTGCCTTCTTAACTCAAGCCTTACAGACCATAAATCTGATCTGCAAATGATCGCAGGGTGATGTAGGATCAGGCAGGTTCATTTCTTTGTGCAAAGTGTCACCATGGGTCAAAGCTGACTTAATGACAGCAACAACAAAGCACAGTTTTTACATAAAAGAATGTATGAAGAGTCACAACGCAGCTGGCTGTACAACTAATCATGTAGTCAAGAGAAGATCCCTCAGATGGTCATGTTTCGTTCTCTCCTGGACAGCCTGCCGAGAGTGAAAGCTGTCCTGAGATTGGAAGACACGGTAATCCTTTGGCTTAGAAAGGATTTTAGTTGTCATTTTAGTTCTTGTTCTCTGGCCACTGACAACTTTATACAAACTCTAGTGGATTGTTAGGAAGCTAACAATCTCATTCAATCTCTATTAGGAAGCTAGACCATTTTGGGATGAGTTTAGTGAAAGACTTGAAAGCTGACAGCGATTCTCACTCTCCCCAGGAATCCCATAGCTTGAAATAAATGCCTTCTCATAAAGGACTGTGTTTAAAAGTATTACATTTTAGGGCATTATGTTTATCGTAGGAGTACACAATGAGGGTTGCAGAGCGGATTATATTTGGGGTTGGGGGTGGGATTGGGGGAGGTGCTGGGGGGGATTGTGTACCAATGAGGGAGTTTTTCTTTTGCTTTTCAAGGAGAGGAGCAAACGGGGCGGGGTGGGGGGGATGGGTGAGGTGGGGTGGGCTGGGAGAAGGGTGCAACAATGAATGAATGGAATTCCAAAATATCTGTAGAAGTTCATTGAAATGAAAAAAAATTTTTTTTTTTTTTTTAAAAAAGGGCTGTGTGTAGGGGTAGTACCGCAGAAAAGAACAGCTCAGCTCTTAGAATCTTCAATGCAGGTTCCAGGATCTTTCATCCTGACCTGCTCCAATTTCCTTAATCTATAACATGAAGTACTGAGGCACTTGCTACAAAGTTCAACCCTTTGTTTAGAAGCTGAACTCCAGACTCTGATGATGCCTCTCTTCTTACTTTTGGTACACTGATGTCATAGCCAATAATAAAAATAAATTCACTGTTGTCAAGTCAATTTTACTTATTTGTCTCCCTATGTGGAGTAACACTGCCCACAGGTTTTTCCAGGCTGGTAACTTTGTGGAAGCAATGTCTTCACCTGTGGAATGACTGGTGGTTTGAAACCAACAACCTTCCAGTAAGCTACTAAGCATTTAACCCCCGTGCGACCTGGGGAATGGCTCTCAGGTTTTCTTTTTAACCTTAGAACATGAATTTACCACAAGAAAGCATTGTCTACAACTTCAACACCTAAGAATTTTCCTTTTTAATGTTGCTGTGTGCAATCAAGCCAGAACTGACCCATAGCTGACCCTCTAGCTAGCTGTCAGAGGTAGTAAACTGCATGAGTGGAGATTGTCCATCTTTCTCCCACAGAGCAGGTGGTGGATTTGAACTGTGAGACTTTGGGATGGCAGCATAGCTTCTTATCATTAGGCCACCAGAGTTGCTTTATAACACCACCAACAACTTTATAATGTAAGTATATTTAAATATTAAAATGACGTTGTCCACCTCCTGAGAAGACATAGGTTCAAGTTACAACTTCCTGTATTTCCAAAGATTGATAGATAAGCCTTAGGGAGCTATGTGTCAACTTTTGCTAGCGTTGTTAGATGTTATCAAGTCAATTCTTACTCCTAGCACTTCCACATGAGGATTGAACTGCCTTTCCTGGTGGTAATCGTTATGGAAGTTTTTGAGTGGGTCTAACTTTTCAGTTAGCAGTCAAGCCTTTAACCAGTGAATTGCCAGTGCTCCTTATATAAACTTTAAAAGGAAATTATTCTCTTTCCTTGGTGGGTGGTACTTCACTGCCAGTTAAATCCTCCTCAAGTCCTATTTCTTGAAGAACAAGCTGTAAAGCAGGCAATTTCAAACTGAGGTCCTCAGAGCAGCAGCATCTGCAGAACCTGAGTTTTAACCATGCTAGAAGTGCAGACTTTTGGATTCTATCCCAACCTACTCCCATGGATTGAACTGTCCTCCCCAAGTTGGGTAGGCCATGATTCACCATATTATATAAATATCTTATGTGTTATGAATCCTAACCTCTTTGATGTTAATGAGATAAGATTACAGGCAGTAATATAATGATATAATCATCCCCCATGATGTAATCACCCAAGGAATTGTAAAGGGATTAGGTTGGAATATCCTTAATCAGGATACAGCCCTGATCTGCTTTAAGGGGAGGTTTCCCTGACCTGAGGCTTGCATCACCTTGTGTCTTACAAGAGATAAAAGGAGAAAGAAGTGAGGAGAGAAAGGGAGAACCTCAGTGACACCAAAAGAGAAGGGCCAGGAGTGGACCACAATACATCTTTTGGACTCGGGTTTCTGTATGAAACTCCTTGAACCAGGAGACATAGGGACAGAAAGCCTTCACCTCGAGCTGGCACACTGACTTCTTTACTTCTAGCTTCCTAAATTGTGAGAGAATAAATTTCTGTTTGTTGAAGCCATCCACTTAAGGCATCTCTGTTGTAGAAGTTGCACTGCCATCCCAAAGGCACGTAGCTCAAATCCACCAGATGCTTCTTGGGAGAAGGATGAACGATCTCCTCATATGCGATTTACTGTCTCTGAAAATCTGTCAGAGGGTCAGCTATGGGTCAGTTCCAATGTAACAGCACACAATAACAACAACAAAGAACTAAGATGTCCACTGAGTTGGAAACCTAGGAGTCTGGGCCAGAGTTCTGATGAAGTTTCCAGGTGACTCAAGTTTAAGAACCGCTGCCCCATATTTCAATGGAGAACAAATGAGAACCATGACAGACTTTCCACAAGGGACATTACCTGCATAAAGCACAGAAGAATGTTCTACATCCGAGCCAAGACGACTTGCTACAGAGCACCCGTAGACTCCTTGTTCTTTTTTTGTAGGGTTCCATATCTGCAATTTCCCCGCTCCATCCAAAATTATCCTGCAGAACAGTTAGAAACAAGAGGCATTCATATGACACATTCAACTGCTCTGGGCCCACAGTAAGTCACTGAAAAGATGGCAAATTAGACTGTGAGCTGGCAGAGACTCCACAAGGTGACCTTACCAAGCTTTCTGCCAATAGGCAGAGAGCTATATAAAGCAGGAGAGTGGAAAGGACTCTTCTCTTGCCTTTCAAGTTGCCATGGAGGTGATTCAGGCTTACAGTGAGCCCAGGCATGTCAGAGCAGAACTGGGCCTCACAGAGTTGTCAATGGCTGACTTCTCTGGAGTTCACCAGGCCTTTCTCCTAAGATGCTGCCTTATGGACGACAACCTGCAACCTTTCAGTTTGTAGCCGAGTGCATTAATCATGCAGACCACACTTGTGGCTCTCTCTGGCCTTAGACTCAGAGCTGGATGCAGCTTAACTGGTGAAGAGATTTTTCTAGGTACTTATCGAACACATTCTTTTCAAAGTGTAAACTATCAAAACCTATGGGTGTGCTGGCTGTTAAGCCCCAGGTTCCTACTGAAATTCTCCTTCCTAGTGGACTGCAGGTGTGGATTTTGGAGAAGGAAATTTGTAGTGGAAGTCCACACTTTGAGCATGGCTGCCCTGTGGTGAGGGATTATCTCACGCCATCTCTAAATGGAGTAAGTCAGCGAGGTAGTGTGGTTTATACAGGATTTTGATGATACTGTTAGGAATCAGGGCTAACCTGCATGTGGTTTCCAAATTATAGATATTCGTAAAATGTTTCATATAAATGCTACTCCAGCACTACAAGCTGGATGGTGTTTCCTAAGCAATGAAGTTAATTATTCAGAAAAGCAGAGAAGAGAGCTTGTTCTAATTTTTTGTTTGTTTTTGTTTTTTAATCTTAGTTTCATAATGATTTGAAGCTTCCTTGAGACCATCTGGTTCCAGATAGATACGAATTCAAAGCCCACTTTAGCAATCTTAACCAAGCAGACTATTATGATTCTATTTCATACCAACCACTCAGAACGAGCAGGATTGTCCCATAGGACTTCTGAGGCTGTAACTCTTATGAGGACAGATTGCTTCATCTTCATCCCAAGGATCGACTAGTGGGTTCAAACTGTCAACCTCTTGGTTAGCAGCACAACCTTCAACCCACTATGCCACCAAGGCTCCTTAACAAGAAGTGGGAAAAGTTTGAGAACTCTTAAGTTAGGCTCTCTGATTCCTTAACTTTTGTTGCATTCTTGGTTTTTGAGTTCTAGGATAAAAGAATTCAACTGTTAGGTATAATCTACTTTGTCATTTGAAGACATAGGCCTAAATATTTACTGTAAAAAAAGTCAAATACATCTAGTTTTACTCCAATGTTTTCCCATGTTAGTTTTGATGCACAAGAGCATGATAAAGAAAAAATATTTTTCCCTTAAAGTATCTGAGGTCTACAAAATAATTTCACATCTACCATTTTATTTGTGTCTTTTCATATTCCCCAAGGACAGAAAGGGGGAAGTTTAAATTCTTAAATAAAAATAAGTACAAAGGAAATGTCTATCATCTCTTGTGTATGAATTGCAAGATTTAGAGACAGCAGAGAATGCAGAAATCAATTTTGTTATCTTATGTAACATTAGTGATTAGTGGTTTTTTTAATGTGATAACTTTGCACTGACTTAGATAAGGCTTACAAGAAATGAATGCATGACATTTAATCTTGTGTTCTGTATATTTAAAAAAAAACACCCCAAAACCCTTGATGGTATCACCTTATATTTGGATTATAAGACATGTTTTGCATGATCTATGCTATTACATCAGATAGGCAATCTTTCTAAAAAGGCTACTATTTGTGTTATATTAAAGCATCAAAGTTAGTGGTCAAGAAATATAGCCCTTGCTTCTGACCGGCTGTGAGCTAATGATTCTGTTCCTCAACAACCTCATCAGAAAACTATTAGCATTGCCCTGCTAAATTCAAAGCCCTGAAGTGAGACTCAGATGTGACTGTTGTTGTGAGGTGCTATTGAGCTGGTGTGGACTCACAGCAAACCTGTACACACAAGGAAAGGGTGAAATGCTGGCCCACCTCTGTCCTCTTCATTGTGATATTTGAGTCCATTGCAGTTACTGGGTCAATCCAGCTCATTGAAGACCTTCCTCCTCTTCTGCTGACTCTCTGCTTTACAAAGTATGATGTCCTTCTTCAGGAACTGGTCCCTCGTATGTCTGAGGTATTAACAGTCTCATTATCTTCACTTCCTAGGGTCATTCTGGTTAAACATTTCCCAAGACATATGTATGTGTTGTTCATCTGGCAGTCCACTGACAGTATATTCAATGTTCTTAGTCAACACCATAATTCTAATACATCAAGTCTTCTTATTTATTGCCTACGTTTCATATCTGTGTGTGATAATTGAAAATACCCTAGTTTGGGTTAGAGACACATTAGGTCTTAAAGTAACATATACTTTTAAAGTGTTCTTTGCAGATTCCCTAACTTAATTTGATTAGATCATTTGATTTCTGGATTGCTGCTTCCATGGGTGTTCATTATGAACTCACAAAATAAAATTCTTGATAACTTCAATCTTTCTCCATTTATCAAGATGTTGCTTATTAGTCTAGTTGTGTGAATTTTTATCTTATTTGTGTTGATGTGCGATTCACATTAAATGGGTAGTCCTTGATGTTCATCAGCAAGGGCGCCAAGTACTCTTTACCCTAAGCGAGTATGTGTGCCTTAATCTGCATATCACAGGTTGTTAATGAGTCTTCCTCCAATCCTGATTCTGTGCTCTTTTTCATATAATCTGGCTTCTCGTACATTGCATAAAGGGCTTGATGTCAAATGACTGCCTGACTTGGGATCCAGCTGAGAATAATTACGTATTTGGGAAATTCCATTCTTCGCAATGTCAACTATCATTTGCTATGATCCATACAGTCAAATACATTTGCACAGTCAAGAAAATACAGGTGAACATCTTTCTGGTATTCTCTGCTTTTAGCCAAGAACCATCTGACATCAGCAATGATATATCTCATTCCATGCTCTCTTTTAAACCTGGATTGGATTTCTGGCATATCCTTGTTGATGTAGTGCTGCAATTATTTTGAATAATCATCAGCAAAACTTTACCTATAATTGGTATTAAGATATTGCTTGATAATTCTACATTCTGTTGGATTACTTTTTTTAAATGGGCACAAAGACTGATATTGTACAGTCAGTTGACCAAACAGTTTTCCTTCAGATCTTTTTATATAGATGAATGAGCATTTCCAAGGGTACATCTGTTTTCTGAATCATCTCTATTGATATTCTATCAATTACTGGAAATTGCTTTTAGCTGGTGACTTCAGTTCAGCTTAGATTTCTCCAATCAATATCACCAGTTTTTGATCATACACAAACTCTTGAAATGGTTGACTATTAGTTGTTTTTGGTAAAATTACTATCATTTCCTTCCATCTTCTCCTCCCCCCTCCCTTAATCCCGTATCTTACCCATAGAATCCCTCTCAAGGCTTAGTCTTAGCCACAGAATCCAACTTACAGCTTAGATTTTTCTTTAGTTCCTTTAACTTTTTGGTTTTCTAACTCCCATGCTTTGCACATTTAATTATAATCACATTGTCTTCTTAAGCCAGCTTCTGGAATCTTCATTCAGCTCTTTCACATCATCATGTCTTCTGTTCACTTTAGTTACTCATCCAGAGGAAATTTCAGTTTTTTTCTAACATCTATTTTGGTTTTGACTCTTTTCTTTCTCTTTTTAAAATAACCTTTTTCTGTCTCCATGTATAATATCTATGATATCATCCCACATCTGGTCCTTAGTCGTAGGTGTTCAATGTATCAATTCTATTCTTCAGATGATCCCTACATTTCAGTGGTAATACTCAAGGATTATACTTGGGCTTTTGTAGATGAACTTTACTTTTTCTTTACATAGAAGCAATTAAACACCTGTTTTATTTGACTCCTAGTCTTGTTTTTGATTGATTGATGGTATTGAGCTTCTCCAGGTCTTCTTTTCATAGATGTAGCTGATTTGATTCTTATGTATTCCATTTAGTGCATTGGGAAAGTCTGCTGTCATGGACCTCTCCAGAGTGCTGAAAAGCAATGATGTCAGTCTAGAGACAAAGTTGTGCCTAATCCAGGCCATTGTCTTCTCAATTACTTGTTATGCTTCAGAGAGCTGGACAATGAGTAAATGTGACAGAAGAATAGATGCCTTCAAGTTGTGGTGTTGGAGAGGAGTCTTGGACATAACACGGACTGCCAAGTAAACAAATTAGTCTGCCTTGGGGAAGGTGAAATCAAGTCTCTCCTTGGAGGCTTGGATTTGGAAGCTCCATCTCACATAATTTGGGCACATGGCCAGTAGACTGGTCCTTAAAGAAGGACATCATGCTTGAAGGGGGGAAGGAAAGCACAGGTGAGAAAGACTCCAGATGAGATGGATTGATACAGCATCTGGGGCAATGGGGGTTGGTGTGTTGGAATTAGTGAGACTGGCTCAGGACAGGGAAGGGTTCAGAGCAGCTGTACATAGGGTTGCTATATGTTGCAGGTGACTCAAAGGCATATAACAACAAAAACATACTATATTGATCATTTTTTATTTAAGCCTTATGTTTAGAGTAAAAAAAGACTGTGGGGAGGGCCTTTGTATTTAAAATCAGTTGTTGTGACAATATTTTGGAGAACATTCATCTAAGTGGAATAGCACTCATCTGTCAATATGCTATATTGAGTTAACCTGGGGTTGCTGTGATGCTGAATTTTGTGCTATTGGGGTGTCAAATGTCATTACAGTTACCCATGGTGGACAGTGTTTGGTGGAGCTCCCAGTTTGACAGGATGGGAAGCAGGACGGGCATCCACTTCCTAAACAACATGGCTCGGGAAACTCTATGACTTTGAAAAATGACAATGGTTATAGAAAGGCTTCAGGTCTTTTGTTCATAGGGTAGCTATGAGTCATTCTCGACTTGACGGCTATCAACAACAACAACAACAACAAGGTACACATGCTTAATGCCCCTGATGTTATTGAGGAAAACATGTTTCCAGTTAATGAGTCAATGATCATGCAAATTTTGATCATGTGACCACTAGCATAATTTCTATCACAAAGTGCCTGTTTTTCAACTACAGATCTTTCCTTGTTTCTAATTTTTTTTGCATTATAATCACTTATTATTACCACTCCATTGTGATTTGACCAACTTCAGGGTGCAGAGGTTAGTAAAAATCTTCAATTTTTTAATACTTGGCATTAGTGCCTAATGGGTAAAATAAAATAATAGTATATTAACTGGTCTTCCTTGTAATTGCATGGATATTCTATCATTGACAATACTGTTCTTGAGGATAGATTTTGAAATGTTCTAATTAAGGACAAATGTGACTGCATCTCTTTTGAGGATCTAATAATATTTCTTTAAATTCTGATTTATATTTTATACATAGCATGGGATTACTACCGATAGGATTTTTGTTTGTAATGGCATTGGAGATGATAGAAGAATTGATGCCTTTGAGTGGTGGTGCTGAAGAAGAGTAATGAATATACCATGGATTGCTAAGAGAACAAACAGGTTTATCCTGAAGAGGGTTAGACCAGGCTGCTCCTTAGAGGAAATGATTCTGAAGCTTCATCTGACATACTTTGAAATGTTGTAAGGAAGGACCCGTCCTTGGAGAGGGATGTCATGCTTGGGAGGATGGAGGGACAGTGCAGGAGAGGAAGACCGTAGATGAGATGGATTGACTCAGTGACTGGAGAAATGGAGGTAGGTGTGTCGGAGACAATAAGGTTGGCTCAGGATAGAGCAGAGTTTAGGGCTGTTGTACATAGGGTCGCTATGAGTTGCAGGTAACTCGATGGTACATAACAACAACAACAACAAATGGCATAATAGTGATTTTATTTCTGAATCTTATTAAATGCTCTGTAAATGTGGGCTCTGCCAGCAGTTATTCTTTCTGTATCCAGACCTGTGGCATAATTATAGACTAGTAACTAGAATAATATGATGGTTTTAATTTTAACATGCCAGCCTATATATGAAAAGTACAGCCTAAATTTTTATAGTGTACTTTCTAAATAATCCCATTGGAAGCATATTTTGAGGAGAAGGATTTTGAAAATATTTACAAGAAAACAGGAATAGTTATTAAGAAGGTATATACTCTTGAGTTTTTAATCTCTTCTTTTACTTACTTTACTGAGGGCTGTAACAACGTTCCATCCTTGGTCCACGTGTATGTGACCTCACTGGGGGTTACAAGGTCACACAGTATATTGATGATCACAGTCTTTTTTGTAATATATATTGTATTTCCAATCCTTGAATTTATTGTTGTATTAAATGAAATGGTGGGAGGATGCCTTTCCCTCAGGAGAACAGGTGCCTTTGGCTTGAAGGTCAGCTTGCCTGAGTTCTTTGCATTTGAGTTTTGGGGCATGCCTCCTGTTTCCTCTCTCAGCTGAGATGAGCGAGGTCCCCCTTCCTGGACACCCATCCACGGCAGGTGAGAAGGCTGCACCTTAGCTAACTCTGCCACCAGCTGATAGATCACTTGGGACGCAAGCTCGTCACTGACCTCTCCGGTTTCCATAAGCTGACTCAAGTTTCTTATCAGCTCTTCAAACTGGGCTGTGTCCATGCTATAGGCTCCCTGTTTAACGGCTGCTTCAAACTGCTTGTTCTTTAGCTCCCAGGAGTTGGTGTTTCCTGCGGAACTGCCACAGGGGTCCAAGAGAGCTCTCAAGATAGGCTGCTTATGAATTTGGCCATCATCTAGATACAGCTCATTTTTGTGATTCCACATTTGCCGCATTTTATGCCATGTGGCTCCCAAACTATTGTCTTGGCTGTGGCCCATCATTGGATATCCCCTCCTGTGCTCCCGAAGGGCTGGGGGTGCAATGAGTCGATTATCAGTACCGATGAGCTTGAGAACTACCGTCTCCTGGGCCGAGCCTGCAATGCACCGGTACACACCAATGTCAGGGGCTGCGAGGCTGTGGATTTTGAGGGAGCCCGATTTGGTGATGCCCAGTCGTTTAGAGTTCTGCAGACAGTGGCCATCTTTCTCCCACTGGATCCTGGACTTCTGGAATCGTCGCACTGGGCATTTAATAATCACCGATGTGTTGGGAAGCAGATAGGCTCTGCTCCCAATGGTCAGGTTAATGCGCTTCTCCTCCCTTGTCTGAATGTAGACTCTCTGGATGCCCAGGATCTGAGGACTCTGATCGCGTTGTTTGGTTTTTGTCTCTCCTTTTCTTTCTGCAAGGAGAAAAGAAAAACAAAGAATGAAACACACACCTCAATAATAAATACCTTTTGGTACTGATATTTCAAGACTAAAACAAGTCAACAAGTATATATATTTTTTTCCTCTTTTGAAACATGCCAGGATAAAAATATTAATAACATATCTCTGTGTCATTGCCAGTGAGTTGGAACCAACTTATAGCTGACCCACCAGTGGGTTGTCAAGGAGTTTGCCCATCTTCCTCCTGAGGAGCTGCTAGTGGATTCGAACTGCCAGAGAGGCACTGCCTTTGGGTGAGAAGCATAGTTCCCTACCAACTATGCTACCAGAGTGCCATAACAGTATGGAAGGAAACACCCAAAATATCCTCAAACTCAATGTCGTGGAGTCTGGACCGACTCATAGCTGACCCTCCAGTGGGATTGCTTATCTTTCTCCTGGGGAGAAGCTGGAGGGTTAAAAGTGCCTGTCTTTGGGAAAAAAGTATTTGGTAATGACATGTCAAATAAGGGACTTATATCTAGAATTTATAAAATACTTGCGTACCATAACAAGATAAAGATAAATAATCCAATTGAAAAATGGGCACAGGATATGAAGAGACACTTCACCAAAGAAGACATTCAGATGGCCAATAAGTACATGAAGAAATGTTCAAAATCCCTAACTCTAAGAGAGATGCAAATATAAACAACTATGAGATAACATCCCACCCCAGTAAGAATAGCAAAGTTTAACAGAACAGCAAGCAACAAATGCTGGCAAGGTTGTGGAGAAACTGGAAGCCTTATTCACTGTTGGTGGGAGTGTAAAATGGTGCAACCACTGCAGAAGGTGGTATGGTGCTTTCTCAAAAAGTTGCAAATAGAGATACCATTTGACCCAGCAATTCCACTACTGGGAATATACCCCAAAGAGACCATAACTGATATCCAAAAAAGATATATGCATACCCATGTTTATTGTGGCTTTGCTCACAATAGCAAGGAGTTGGAAACAACCTAAGTGCCCATCAACAAACAAATGGATAGAGAAACTTTGGTATATTCACACAATGAAATACTATACTGCATTGAAAAACAAGGAACTCATGCAATATTATTCAAAATGGGTGACGCTGGAGGACATTATGCTGAGTGAAGTATCTCAGTCACAAAAGGACAAATATTGCATGGTACCACTGTTGTAAAACAGGACTTACATCAGGGTTAGGGGGAAACTGAGAAAGATGGGTTCAATAATGTATAGTGCATTGAAACAGATGAAGGAGAAAACTGTTTAGAAGCGCTAGGTATTTTTGTCATGATGGGAGTCCAGAGTGAAGGCTACAAAGTGGAGTGGATGTGGACCTGGGGGGAAGGATTATAAAACAATGAAATAATTTTTCTTTTATTTTTCCAAGAGGGGAGTGTACTGTAAGGGGGAGGGTTGGGAGGGGAGAAAAGTGCAACAATGAATGAATGGAAATCCAAAATCTCTGTAAATTTTTATTGAAATTAATTAAAAAAGTGCCTGTCTTTGGATTGGTAGCTCAACTTCTTACCACTAAGCTACAAGTTGTTGTTTTAATTACGTGGCATCGAGTCACTTGCGAATCTTAGTGACCCTATGTACAACAGCCCTAAACCCTGCTCTATCCTGTGCCAATCGCACTGCCTCTGACACACCCATCCCGATTACCCCAATCACTGAATCAATCCACCTCATAGAGGGTCTTCCCCTCCTACACCGTCCCTCCACCCTCCCAAGCATGATGTCCGTCTCCAAGGACCTGTCCCTCCTTACAACATGTCCAAAGTATGTCAGACGAAGCCCCAGAATCCTTGCCTCCAAGGAGTAGCCTGGTTTAACCCTCTCCAGGATGAATCTATTTGTTTTCTTGGCAGTTCAGGGTACATTCAATAATACTCTTCTCTAACACCACAGCTCAAAGGCATCAATTCTCCTTCTATCCTCCCTAGTCATTGTCCAACTCTCTGATGCATAACAAGTGATTGCAAAGACCATGGCCTGTATCAGGCGCACCTTAGTCTCCAGAGAGACACCGTTGCTCTTGAGTACTTTAGAGAGGTCCCTAACAGCAGACTTACCCATCGCAATACGTTTTTTTATTTCCTGGCTGCTGGTGCCAAGAGTGTTGACCAAACCCAAAGTCATTGTCATTAAGTGCATTCTGACTCACAGTGATTCTGCAAGACTAACCTACAGCGTGTACCAGACTATGACCCTTACAGAAGCTGACTGGCTCACCTTTCTCTCGGAGTATCTGGTGGATTCACACGCCTGACCTTTCAGTTAGCAGCCTGGCATGATACTTGTACCATGCCTGGATTTGGATAAATTTCATAGTGACCAATTATTTTAGTAACAAAGAGAACCCATTTGAAGGAGTTTCAAGAAAATACAATTAATCTGTAAAGCCCTGGTATGGGGACGTATGAGGTGAACAGCCAAATTAAACAGACCATGGGAAACCAAATTGATTGCTCTCCAGTCAGCCCTGATGTCCAGCCACCCTCCGTTGTATTTCTGAGGCTGTCCATCTTTGCAGAAGGACACTGCTCATTCTTTTCCCATGAAGTGTCCAGTGAAGTTGAACGGCTGAGTTTTTGGTTAGCAGCCTGATAAACTACACCAGCAAGACTCCTTAATGAAATATACCCCAAAACCTCAAGCCAAACCGACTAAGATCAAACTGGTTCAGACTTGTAATGACCCTTAATCAGACTTTTGATCTTGGAAATTTTTATTGAATCAGATTGTTCTACATTCTGCCACAGAGTGGATGGTAGATTCTAACTGCCACCCTTTTGGCTAAGAGTTTACCCTAGGCCACTGGGGCTCTTTAATGAAATAAGGTGATTCCTACATTTGAGGGATAATTTTGTTCTATGCTATGTTAATATAATGGCTTCAAAGTTACCCAGGTTCTAGACACACATTTCTGACATATTTCTACACTGTTCTGTCAGGTTGGGCCTCTACCTCCTGGAAGGACAGCCTTGGGGAAGCTGATCTCGTTAAAGATCAGGATATAAAAGAGGAAGTAAAAGTAGAAATGTGTGTGAGAGCATTTGAAGGCTCCAAGAGGAGAAAGTTCAGGAACTCCAGTTAAAGTCTGGTGGTGGGGCAGAAATGGAAAATAATAATCATAAAAAAATCCAGAGCAAGCATCTTAAAGCCCACAAATCAGAGTTTGACTCTTAACTCTGCCACTTGAACAAGTCATTTAATCAGACCGAGTCGCAGTTTTCTCACCTGTAAACTGTAGGTAAGGATACCACCTACGTCAGAGGTATATGACAATGAAATAAAATCTGAATACACTCTCATATATGACTGGTGAGTGCTGGTGGCCTAGTGAGTAAAGAGCTGCACTGGCCAACCCAAAGGCTAGTGGTTCGAATCCACCAGCTGCTCAGAAGGAGAAAGAAGGGCAATCTTCTAAGTTTGATTTACTGCCTCTAAAACCTGCTGAAGGCTCAGCCACATGTCGCTTCTGACTCGATGGTACATAACAACAACATATATGACTGGGGATGACCAGATGACAAAGGCAGGTCTAGCAAGCTGGAGGGCAGTCTGAGTGGGAACTGGAGATGGCTGGGATCAAAGCTGACACTCTTCAGAGTCTTCCCCTCTAAGAGAAGTAGCTTGCAGTTCCAGTTCACCTGGGGATGGTTTCAATGTGTCTAGAGTGGACCTGAGGTGGGAGGGTCACCAGGGTCCTCTCTGATGATGAATGAGGTTATTGGCAGGTTGGAGAGAGTGGGCTGCAGGGTTTGGGCACACTAGAGAGTGGACTCACACGGAAGGGATTGCTGGATTTGGAAGGTCATGAAATTAGGGTCTTTAGCAGTTTGAAGACTCCTTCCAGTTCTCCTGGTAAGGACCTGACAGGGGCATGATGGGAGAAGAAACAGATGCAAAGCCCATTTGGACAGCCTCTCAGTTCACAGGCACTCCTAGTGAACTGGTGGGTTTACTAGTGCTGGTTGATCAGAAAGTTCCTTTGAGTCTTCTTGGATGGCTTGTGAGCCCTTTAGGGTCTGGTCTGCTGAGATGTGGTGGTTTTAGCTGTTGCTGTTAACTGTCGTTGATTCCTACTCATGGTGATGCCATATACACAATGTTGACCTAGACGACATAGAGTTTTCAAGGCTGTGATGTTTCAGGAGGAGATCACCAGCTCTTATTTCTAAAGTGCTTCTGAGTGAGTTTGAAGGGCCAATAATTTGGCTGCTAGTCTAGTGTTTAACCATTTGAGAAACCCAGGGAATGTAGGTTCAAGAAAAGAGCAGGGTGGGATTCTTAGTTGTTGAGGTAGAGACTGCTTCTTGTTGTTGTTATGTGCCGTCGAGTCGCTTGCGACTCATAGCGACCCTATGTACAATAGCCTTAAACTCCGCTCTGTCTTGTGCCAATTGCACTGTCTCTGACACTCCCATCCCAATTATCCCAGTCACTGAATCAATCCACCTCATAGAGGGCCTT